CCACCCGAGGACAAAATAACTATGTACTCATCCACTCTCTCTCTCTCTCTCTCTCTCTCTCTCTCTCTCTCTCTCTCTCTCTTCTCTCTTCTGAATTTGAATTCCCTCGGCTGTCCTCACCTTCAGTTCCAAATGGTCCATAGGAAATCTAAGGATTCACTCATTTTCTTTTGGATTTGAGAAATAAAACTCCAAAATATGTTGTAACCTTTGGATTCATAATGGACCACTTGAATTAGAAGCCAATGATAGATAAGAGTAAGACAATAAGATGATCTAGCTTCCTTCTCTTGCTAGAGTAAGACACATGCTTGATGCATAGAATAGCAGCACATAGTAAGTGTGAATGCTTCTAGTGTATTTGTAAGATAAATATATTCTCTTAATGGAGCTTTGAATTTGATCCACATATTAGAGTCTAAGAATGTGCCCTGCTTTGATTAGAGTCTAGGAATGTGTATTAATCTAAATTTCTAGGATTTTTATTGGAATATGAAATACTAATTATTCACTAAAGAAATAATAATTAAAACATAATCACTAATGAAATGATTTAAACAAGGCTAAGATATTATTTAATGAAAAAAAAAAAGAAAACTTTAAAAAATGATATTTTACTAGCATGCAAGGTGGCATGGCAATGATGATTTGATTAAAACAAATTCTAAGTCTCTACACATGGAAAACAAGAATGGTGTCATCTTTCAACTAAAGGGATAATCTCATACTAGGCTTAAGATTTAATGATATATAAGTCTTCACAAAAAATATTTAACTAAGAAAAGTTCATATTAATAAATAATTAATATGCAGTATGAATCATTATTATTATATATATATATTGTTTTTTTAAAAAAAAATTATACAGTTTCTCACATTATAGGTCTAGCCGCTCGGCTATACCCCATAAATACTATGTATTTCATGGTATATCCGCATGGCTGTACTGTTTATTTTTAAAAATTAAATTAAAAAAAAATAGGAACCGCCTAATAGCACCTATTCGGAAGTATTTTATTTTTTATTTTTAATTTTTTTAAAAGAATATAGCCAAGAGGCTATACAAAGGGTCTTAATTTCTCACTTTACACCCTAAAATTGAAATTTTCTCACTTAACCTTCTGGAACTGAAAAGTTCGGCCACCATATAATATTTTAATATAATTTTATGTGTATAATCTTGAATTTTGTATGTATTATTGAAAATTTTGTAAAAAAACACATGTATTAAACATGAAAAATATGTACATACGTGTATTGTACTAAGTCTTTAAGACGTGTACGCAAAACGAAAGTATTATTAAAAAAAACTAAGATATGTATTCGTGGATCAAGCTAAGGCTAGGGTTTTCTCTGAACGGCACAATCCATCTCCATCTCCTCGGAATGTCACTGTAAGTTCCCTTATTTTTATTTTTTTTCAAACACTTTCACTTTTCATTTTCTGAAATTTTCACGGTTGAATGTATTTATTGATTATTATTTCAAAATCGAGACACACTCATAGATACTATATTAGAATGTATGTACATATGTTATGCTTTTCTTTTAGACTATTCCGTTTGGTTTACGAGAAAATAGAATAGAAAGTGAAGTATGAAGCGGGTTTTGTGTGGCATGAAGGTTGTGAGTTGCTTTGGTCTCTAAAGATGGGGGTGTTTTGTTTTTCTACAGGACTGTCATTTAATTTAAAATATCACTAAATTATGACAGAACTGTGGTGGACTTTGTATTTCCTTCATGTTTACATGTATTTTGTATATGGCTTTTACATTTGAATTTTGATATGAAACTAATCATGGCAGCAAGTGCTTTGTATTTGGAATGATATTTGTTTTACTTGTGAAACGTTTTCAGTTTTCTTTTTTAAGGTTGAAGCGGTTATAGTAAGTAGTACCTATAAAAAGCATTGTTCGACTCTCTGTTGCACATGATGAATTAAGTGGGATGATGAGTTGGGTTGTCAAATGAGTTTAAGGCTTTTGATAATGTTATTGAATGATGAAACCATATTGGAGGATATATGAGTTGGAGCCTAATTAAACTGGGATTGGGCAGTTTGATGCTCATTGAGAATGGATGATGATGGTGACATTGATATTTTTTTCTCCAATTGGAACAACAAGAACCCAACTGATTGCCTTTTTATTGTCTCTTGCCTTATCGCTGCTCTAATTGGAATTTTGACTATAGCCTACATGTGGATTGCCATAGTAACATGTAGGTCTATTCATAAGGTTGACTCTATCCCCTCTTCATGTCTAGTGGATTTTTGAGCTCCATTAATGAGATGGCATCTTCAGTATGTGCAACTGTTAGGAGTCAGAGCAACAAGTCCAAGCATGGAAATGCAACCTCTGTTGTTTAACAGTAAAGCCGTGCGGCTATACGCTATAAATATAAATTGTATAAGTATAGCCGCGCGGCTATACTATTTAAATACAATATCAGGAGTCAGAGCAACAAGTCCAAGCGTGGAAATGAAACTTTTGTTGACATGGGAAATAGTGGTAGTACTGGGGGTATGTCCGCAGAAAGCACAGCTGATACTCATCAAGCTGTTAATCTCTCCTCAGTTGATTTCAATGGAGTTTGGTGAACCTATTCCTCTATTATTATTTCAGATGTATCATAAATTGTTGCTTAATTGTTGCATGTGCTTGTGTTTCGTGTAGCTTTCAGCTAACCTCAACACAAGGACCGGAGGTGGGTCTTTATTTATTCAGAAAGGTGCCGCACCACAGAAAAGCAAAACTTTGTGTCTCCTCCTCCAGTTGCTATTCTACCTACCGGTCCTTATTAACAGTATAGCCGATCAGCTTTAAATACAATATTTTAGCATTATAGCCGCAAGGCTCGACTCTATAAATAGAAATTATAAACGTACAGCCGCACGGCTATACTTTCTAATTACATTCGAATATTTTAAAAGTATAGCCGCCCGGCTATACCCTTTAAATATATTCGGCTATACCCTTTAAATATATTCCAACAAACACGAAGCTTGCACTCGCAGAGGACGGAACTTTCTCTCGCAGTCACTGCTTCGTCCTCCGGGTTCGGCACCCAAAAAAGACCTAACCCACCTAGGTGCCCGCCTAGCTACTACCTAGCTGCCTAGGCGCCCGCCTAGATACTACCTAGCTGCCTAGCCACCGCCTCGCCGCCTAGCGCCAGCCTAGCGACCGCCTAGCCGCCTAGCACCAGCCTAGGCCGACTTTTCAAACACTGTGATTGACTAAAAGTCTGAAACCCGAAATTGAATTAGACATGCCTCAGTCAAATTAAATATTGAACAACTGAACAACCAAAGGGTCGATTTGTCATCTGTCATGAATAGACCTCCACAACCTGTTCGTTGGGGACCAACATGAAGGTGGTCACTCTTTGGAGATTGTGGCTTTGGTTGATTGTTTTAATTGAGAAGGAACAAGTAATTTTTTTAGGGTAAGGACAAACAGAGCTACTCTGGGATAGAACTGGGAAAAGAATATTAAACATGAATAGAGAAAGCTGCAACAAACTCACAAGGCTATCAAATCCAATATAGACAGGCTGTTCACCAGCTTCAAGCCACTCCGCAAGTGAATCTGGGGGTTCATAATTTGAAGCAAGGTCAAGAAAACAAAAAACAACAACATCAACCTTCGGTCCCCAATCTGCCAAACAAGTAAAACGTAGAGCATATCAGCAAATAATCAGCATACTGTATTCTCATTTGGTCAAGCTGGTCTATTTCTACCACATCAAATCATATTCCTGAGGCTTCTGCAATATTATCAGCATACTATTGCTAGAACAAGAAGAAGCCCATGTAATAAGATATGCTTAATAATCCAAAACCACCATGAGGGTTCTGAAATGACCATGTATCTCTACCATATCTTCAGCAAGAAATTAAAAGAAAATAGTCTGACTAAGAAGGCATCTTCTGGCACTCTTTCTCCATATTAAATGAAATTATGACTTTAGTTTACTTTTAATGAAATAAATTACCTCGAAGATTCATAAACTAGTGGAGGGATCTAGTAGACAGTAGATTGTGAAATTATTCACATACATTTTTAGCCAACGAGATTATCAACATACTTTAAAGTGCAAAACAAGTAAGAAACAAGGTGAAGAGTAGAAGATATGCTTAATAATCCAAAACCACCATGAGGATTCTGAAATGACCATGTATCTCTATCATATCTTCAGCAAGAAATTTAAAAAAAAATAAAAAATAGTCTGAGTAATGGCAGAAGGCAACTTCTGGTACTCTTTCTCCATATTACATGAAATTATGACTTTAGTTTACTTTTAATGAAATAAATTACCTCGAAGATTCATAAACTAGTGGAGGGATATAGTAGACATTTTTAGCCAACGAGATTATCAACATACTTTAAAGTGCAAAACAAGTAAGAAACAAGGTGCAGAGTAGTAAGGAAACCCACAAGGAAAAAAATAGTAACAAGCTCTGCGAGTTCATACTTGAACTGCATCAAGTGGTATCAGAGCGTCCTTTCTGCATTTTGC